TAATAAATCAGCAAAAAATCCCTTAAAAACACTTGATTTTAATAGTGTGTAACCCTGTGTGACCTCCTTATGGTATCTGTGAATACAAACCTTATTGATAACTTCAGTTTCTTGTTCATTATAATTGATGTCTGGCCTTTTAGTTTTTCTAATGTAGAATTTACATCATGCTAAGAAAAAAAGTATATGATAAATTAAATGAATAGATCAAGTATTTAAAATTACAATCATAGTCTTACATACTTTGTATATTGAACTGAACCATTCATTAAGTCTCACATAATAAGGTAAAATGTGTTTATTTAATTATCAACAATGGGGGGGATATTTATTCAATTGTTATAGATAATTGTGAATATTATTAACATGAATTAATTCTCACTTGGTCTAAAACCAAGCCTTTTTATACCTCTTGAGATATTACAAATAACATGACCTTTACAATATTTTGTCCAATAAAATATGCATATTAATCCTATTTTCTGTATTACTAGCTTGCTAATTGCTAATTACTAATGCTACTAAATATTTGGGTCAACTGAGCTAGTGTTTGAATCCGAATCTCAAATGAGACTCAACACATGATTTTAAGCTACTTTGATATTGTGTAACCTCCTTAATGAGTCTCATTTGAGATTCGGATTCAAACACTACATTGATATGTCATGTTTTTGTGGAGGATTTGAGCTTTAAAGTTGCACAAAGTTTACCGAATTTGCTATTCTTGGCCTTAAAATGGCCAGTTACACACAAAAAAGCTAATACTAATATCAAAAATAGACGAATTGAAACAAAATAAAAATTTGAAAAATTTATCTTATATTGCAGATCTTTTGTCACGTGAATTTTCCAGATGAACGGGAGGATAATTAATTATCATTATTATTAAAAAAAATACAAAGAACAGCTAAGTTCATTTATTTTAATTTAATAAATAGATTATTGCATTGATCAAAGAATGTGCAAAATATACTGCTATCTCCCACCTAGCACCAAAAGTATATTTTATGGAGGTATATATATACATTTTATTTCTATTGCTAATGTCAAAATTTCATTTTAAATTTAACTATATATTATCTAATTAATAAATCATATAAATGTGTGTGATGATCTTTGAAATTCATATGACCATAAAATTTTTATTGCATTTATGATTGGAAAAATTTTCTCAAAATTGGCCACTGTGGTGCAGAAAGTTGTGGGACTAAGTGACTTGCACTATACAGTGAATCTCAATTAAGTGGATATAATTAAAAATCTCGGTTTTATGGATAAAATTCAAAGAATGGTTCCATAATAAACCTTAATATTAATAAAACCTTCTTGACATAGCAGATATCTCAGTTTAATGGATTTTTGAAAAATTTTCCCTAATTGCCTAAACTATCCGACAAATCGAGATTCACTGTGTACTATGCAAGTAATTAAAAGAAATGAGCAAGGAAACGAAGATAAAACATATTATAAAGCATTATACATATGATGATGTTACAGTTGTGATGTTAATTTAACAGATACCAAAAATTTATTTAAGAACAAGAATTGTCCCAAAACCAGAACATTTATTAAGAAATTGACAAATAAAAAAATTACATTCCAAATAGTGTTTGTTGTTGCGAACAATTATTTGTTTGAGTGAAGGAATAAGTCCAAGCTTGTTAGAAATATTTATACGTTGAATCTCATATATATTCCTTTTCCAATTAGAATTGCATATTTCCAAATGTTCAGAATTATGGATAACATTAAAACAATAATAATAGTAATAATAATAATAGTGGAGCCAGTGTAACATTCCGTAAAGTGAGATGAAATATACAAATTTCAGAAAAGAGTAAATTAATCTGTTTCTTATTGCTGTTGATTAACAGAGGAGGAGAATAATATCAAACACGTTTGAAGGAGGTAGTTGAGAAGGAAGATAATGCTGAAGATGATGAATTCCTTGGATTTAAAAAAGTCCACCTGATTGTTTCCACATTCAATAATAGCTTCTTACTGATGCACAACCACCCAGAACATGAAATGGGATACTTTTGCATATGTAATCTGCCACTAAATTAAATCCTTTTGATATATATAATAATAAATAAAAAATTTATGCATATTATAAATCAATAATAATAATTATTTGTCAATCACATCCAAATACAATACAATTTCTTAAATAGGAATAAACACACTGGTCTTGGGGAAATTCTTTCTCCTACAGTGCAGGACACCTAATCCCGCAACTTACTGCGCCACGACGACGAATTTTGGGAAAAAATTTCCAATCAAAA